TTTAGAGATAGATGTAATTGTATCATTATACAGATGAACTACATGTAATACAAAACAGGCTTTGAAATATTTTGTAATAATGCAACTGTTTAGAAAGGCATGATTACAATGAGACAGAGCTGCACATACAAAGAGCAGTTTCAAACAGTTTTTTTTTACATTTGTTGATTTTATAGCTTTTTATAACTTGTCATAATGGATAATCCCTGTTTATCTATGTTTCACTTCTCTACAAGTCACTATATATGCTGTAATAATACCTATTTAAATGATTAATACATTTCTTACTAATGCTTTATAGATCAGTTATAAGTCATTACCAAAAACAAGCTTCGGGCTGCCGGGGTTGTAAAAATAAATGAATGAAAATGTGTTTTTATTAATGGCTTATATCTTATCTCCATATCTGATCTCATATGGATCATTAAATTAGTCCTAAGCCATTATTAAAGCCATTAATGGCAACTAATGCTGGACTCTTTGAGGCTGATACCAATATCAATATTATCTTACATTTACATATTCATTCACTGGCCAATTATTTCTAAATAATTATTTTGACAAAAACCCAGATCGTGACAAAGCTCCTGAGAGAGATAAATAAACCAGTCAGCTCCCTCTGATGGGCAGTCTGTGGGCTGGTGTCACTTTAACATTTCTCTGCTGAAATGTTGCTGCTTGATCACGTGAGCACAATATCACTGAATGTCTGCGATAAAAATATGTTTATATCAAATTAATACAACTAATAAACCTGTGATATGTGTGCATGATGAGAAACTAGAAGTCAAAATTGTAACTCAACAGATTTGAGGATTGTTTAGGTACGAATACTTGATTTATATATCATCCAATACCATCTTTCTTCACACAACTTATAATAAAATGATTGATAAAAGCTGCCAACATTTTGGGCAGGATATTTTACAGCTGAGATAAAATGTTGACATTACTCTCTGGTGGACAAATTATAAAATGCTGACACCGATTCTTTGGTTATTTTTTTATTAGTTCTTGCCATTTAACAGTTGACGTATATATGTATGTTAACTGCAATGTGCTAATATTGGTTGATATATATTTAACTGTCAGGCTCTATTCATAAGAAATTCTCTCTACATCATTAACAATCTATAGTAACCCCAGCTATGAAAGAAAGTCTGACATTTTAGGAATGTGCAGTAGAATTTAAAGTAGCTTTTATTGCCTTCATTACCTTTGGGCAGGTAATAAAAAGACATGTAATATACTGAGCTGACCTAACAAGCTGCTGGCTGCAGAGATTCTACAACATGGGTATGAATGTGGGATTCCTCAGGTTTGACCATATACATGTGTATTTTCCAAAATCTCATTCAAACCAATAACACCAACTTTGTCTGTGCTTATGTATGTGTCTGCGTCTTTATTTCAAATGCCAGAATCACTTTCACATATTGTGTCACTTTGGAATATGCCTGCTCTTTTTCCGCTCTGCACATTTCAAATAAATGTGTGTCAACATCACCTGCCTGACTCTGACTCCCTCTCCTCCCATCACAATTTCTTTTGTTGCCTCTTTGCAAATGCCAATTTTCTTCAGTGTATTTCTTTCACACACACATGCACACTATCCATTCTAATTGTCAAGGTTGGCTGATGTAATCGATCAGACCAATTTTATTCACAGTAGCCTCTTCTGTCAGGCTGCAGAATTTATGAGTCACAGGATAATGTCTGAGCAGAAAGGAGTGGTTTGATTTTTATATTTCTTTTGGGCCATTTTCATCAGCCTAGTGGCAACCCCCTTCTCTCTGCCCAGTCTCATATGTCACCGACTGAGGGGAGTGGGAGAGTGAAGTAATGAAGGAAGCAAAAGTGGACACACACACGCACACGCACACACACACACACACACACACAACCTAAACCTAACCATGTCTTCACTTAACCTTGACCAAACCACAATTTACATCTTACATCTAACTTTGACCAGGAGCTGAGAATTTAAGTTTTGCTTCATAAGGACCCGTCTTTGGTCCCCATCAGGTTTGCTGGTCCTGACACGGTCAGTGTTTATGCTGGTCCTAAACAGCTAACTAAAAGGAGTACACACACACACACACACACACACACACACACACACACACACAATGATTTACATCCATTTCCTGGGCGCATACTCTGACCGTAACCATAATATTTGCCGAATTCTTCACCATGCAATTTCATAGTTGAAGTTATAGGGACTTGCTTTTTAGCCCCAGTCCCCATAATATCACTGTATGAATATATTCGGGTCCCCACAACACGGGTAATAACTAGAACACACACACACCAATCACGTTTGACTGTGGCTCAGTACAGTTTTGTTTCACAGTACAGTGGATGGCTGAGATCCGACAGGTTAGATGATGGATGAAAAGGAATCACATCCTCCTCTATTGAGAAGCAGAACAGTCCTTTCTATTTGCATCTTCTCCTCAGTCCTGTCAAAAAAGTATATTCACATGAATGGGTTTGTATTTGATTCTGTTTTGTTTTAAGCTGTTGCGTTATTGTGTTTCCTCCAATGTTTCAGATGAGTGAATCGGAATTGTAAATATGACTCCTTTTTATTGCCACTCAGACGAAAGTATTACTCAAGAAGCAATCAAAATGTGTGGAGCATGTTTGTGTGTGTGTGTGTGTGTGTGTGTGTGTGTATGCCCAAAAAATGAAATGAAAACGATGCTTCGATAACGATTGCTTATCACGCCACAATATTGCATTTCAGTGATATTGGTTGTGCAGTAGTGTCTCTCAGTGACTCGGAGTCACTGCATGCTCATAAATTATACTATGGAAGTGACAGCATCTGCTGACTACACGTGATGGATGTCATGTGTATGTCGAATTGCACTCTGGCATGTAGCCTATATTGTTATCTGTGCAGTCTTGCATATAGACAGAAAATAATGGAATTAAAAGTAATCATTTTTTTGGTCTTCTTTCCCCCCTCATGCATTTCTTATTTCAGTCAATCTTTGCCATCTGCCCGTGTCACTCTCAAGTCGGCTGCTATTCAATTACAGCCAAGAGAGATTTCAGTCATCGTTGTCTGGCAGACACGAGCCAATGAAGAATTTAAAAGATTTCTGCAGGACCGAAAAGTCAACTTGTCTGCATGGATGTGTCCAGGGAGGACAGATATACCCCACCCTCAGAGTTAAACAAACAAGGTCCTATCCGGGGGCCCGCTGTTTGGCTCCATGGTGCATCATGTGCTGAATAGCAATTAACCAGAGAAACATGCATTAAACCTCATTAGCAAAGAGACTGTGGTGCTCAGGAGTCAGAATGAGGAAACATGACGCTTCTGCTGTAGCAGCAGACTGTGTGTCACTGTTAGCTCCCACTGACCTGAGCACACTACATTCTTCTTGGCATCTCCTGTAGTGTCACCGTAATACTCCTGCCAGATTCCTTGTGAGGCGTGTGCTGTGTTCAGCAATAATCTTATTATCGGCCTATTTCATTTTTTTCCCATCACTACGGCATCACTTTAATGTTCCCATGTGATTGGAATATGCAGTGGCTCTGCAGTGAAATGGGTATTATAAGATCACGATGGCTGTTTTAGTGTTGCAACATGATGGAACCAAATATAAAGTCCTGAGTCTCTGCTATGTTTTTTTTTTTTTGCTTTGCCTCACCAGGATTATGCCTCACTGAGCGTTTCCTCCGGTTTGATATTGTCGGAGCAATTGACTTTCAGCGTTGTGCAGCTCCTTCTCTTAAGCCACAGAAAGCATAGAGCGGTGACTCAATCTTTACTGTAATGAGGATTTTGTAGAGACGGCTTATGATACACAGCGCTCCGCCGTTCTGGGCAGTTCTGCTGGACGGCGGCGCCCGAGAGTAATTTAGGCGTCGTTGTGTTAATCTCAAAGGAGCACGCAAACTTTTAACTGTGTTTTTCAACCTCTGTTTCACTTTTGTCACCCTCGTCTAAATTCCCCGCAAAATATTAGCAATGTTCATAATTTAGAAGCTACAGACAGTGTTTGAAAAAGAGCCAAAATGGAAGCCAAAAGGCAAACGGTAGCTAAACTTGAAATGTTCGGGTCGTGGAGGGCTCGGCTGACAGATGGCCGTTCTATTTGTAGCTGCCGTCGTTGTTAATAAAGTATTTTTAAACGGGCGTTTAGCGCGAGCAGAGGGAACAGATGGCTATTTAAATGGACTCCATTAATTATTACTGAACAGGAGAGAGAGGGAGAGTGAGTTACCTTGTGTGTGTGTACGCATGTTTGTGTGTGTGTGTGTGNAAAACAACACAAGATAATTTTATATTAAATGTTGAATATGTCGACACAGAATAACCATATCATGATAACTTTAATGGATGGACTGTTTTCACGGACCCTCTGGCAGTGTGCCCCTATGTCAGAACAACTTATATAGACTACACTTGTACTGCATTTGCTGTGTTTTTAACATTTGGGAGATTCGCTAATGGGTGATATACAGTGTGATGTTTTATGGTGTAGAATTGCATTGTATTAGCTATAATTACATGTTATCTACTCCATCTATATCCATGAGGGCAGATAAATTATAGCACAGTAATACTTTAAATGAGGTCTACTTACTAATTTATATTTTGTTACTAGGTAATTTAACCCAAAACATTGAATAATAACATTTCGATCTTCAATGTGGTGTTTGGTGCCTTTGGATCAAAAAATCTAAATCAAAGCATTTCATTTCACTTGAATCCAGAGATAATTCCATAAACAAAACACCATTTGTCTCACTCCCACACTCTAATCTCCTGAAGTAGCTGATGCATTGCAGACATATTTCTACTTCTCTGTACATTAGAGCCTTGAACAGCAATGTTACTGGGTGTTTTCTAGGATTCAAACATCGAAGAATAACAAATAGGATCCCTGATAATAAACAAGCTCTGTTACTATCCAACTCAGGCGCACACACTGTCCCCCCTCTTCATCCCCATCACACAGGCTGAGACCTACCGTTTGGACTTGGTGTTGGCAGCAGTCTCCTCACTTGAGAGACAAATTTAAAAAAAAAAAGTCAATCAATAAAAGTGAAAAGATGCAGCCCACTTGAGATCAGTGCGGACACAGGAGCCAGGTCATTGTTGTTCTCTGTGACTGACTCTACTGTCCACACAGCTCGTCCACTGGAGGCTGAGAGCCGGAGGAAAACTGCTCACATCTGCCGGAGCTGCACGTCCGCAGCGGTGATTTACACTCTTCTGTGGATTTGGTTTATTTTTCCTCCTTTGGTTTAATTGTTCTTCTTTCCGTTATATTCCAACAGTGACACTCCTGTAATTATCCCTGCGAGAAGTGACTCCCTCCCCCTTTGTGCCTCTCTCTGTATCTGAAGAGAGAGAGAGAGAGAGAACGAGAGAGAGAGAGCGAGAGAGAGAGAGAGAGAGAGCTCTCTTTCCTCTTGTTCTCTCACTTTAACATCAGACACTGGGCGGTCTCTGTCTCATCGTTGCCTGGCACCGGTTCTCACACACTTCACTTTAGAAAAGTGCGGGATCATTTTCGCCCGCAGCCAAAAACGCACCGGAGGAAGCGAGCGTGACTTTTATTGTGAAACAGCACCGAGCCGAATGATGTCAGCACCACGGACAGCGACCTTTTATTCTGAAATATTAACGGGGGCGGGGGCGATCTCCTCTTTTTTAAATTCCATACCGTGCAGGCAGTGACAGAGATGAACACGTGCATGTGGAATCACATGCACGTTCATATTCACATTGACAGAAAATACACAAAGAACATATGAAGGGACATAACCAACATAAAGTAAAATGCAAAAAAAAGTAAGAAAGAAAGACAATATAAATAAATATAGGTGCCAGAGTACAGTTAAAAAAAGAAAAAAACATTGTTGATGTATTGCTCCATGTACCCAGAAGCAGACAGGAGAGTGGGAAAGGTAACTGGGTTCACTGATTCTTAACAGGGGAATGCTGGTGGTTGAAGAAGAGGGC